GCACACCCACAATCCAGCACTCCAGAGGCTGAGGCAGAAGGATCTCTGTGAGTTGTAGTACTGAGTTCAAGGCCATCCTAAACTACATAATAAATCTGTGTCCCAGTGCCTCCCCCAGAAAAGGAAGACAGGAGACGAGGAAAAGAAAGGATTGAGTGTCAGGGCAAAGCAGCACAACATATCACACTCCCACCTCAGGGAAGTAAATTCAGTTCAGATCCAGACTACAGTGAATTTAGCTCATCTTTTTCTTTTTTTTTTTTTTTTTAATCTTTTTGAGACAGGGTCTCACTGTGCAGTTCAGGCTGGGCTTGAGCTCGCTTTGTAGCCCAGGCTGGTCTCGAACTTGCAACGATCCTCCTGCCTCAGCCTCCCAAGTGCTGGGATTACAGGCATGCACCACCACGCCCGGCTACTACAGTGAATTTAGAAGATAACATGCTGAGTAGTTAAAGAGCAGCACCTTTGTAACACTGTGTGACAACATCTGCTCAGCTGCCTATGAACCTGTGCAACTTTGGACAATTACTTGAGTTCTCTGAGTTTCAACTTCTTCATCTGGGAAATGGGGATAGGAAGTCCTATGTGAGCACGGTGTGGTGGCGCATGCCTATAATCCCAGCGCTCAGGAGGCTGAGGCAGGAGGATCACTGAGAGTTCAAAGCCAGCCTGGGCTACACAGTGAGTTCCAGGCCAGCCTGAACTGCATAGCAAGACCCTGTTCCCCACCGCCTCAAAAAAGGCCTATCTCATATTGATCTGTTGATCTACATAGAACTCTTTCCTCTGGTATCATCTAAGCGAAAAATCACGCCCTGGGCAACCAGGGTAAGTGAAAACATCTGACATAGGCTTAGCCACGGGTGCAGCTGTGAAGGCTCTGGCTGCTGGTAAGAGATGTGAAGAAGGGGTGATCAGCATCCGGACAGACGCGTCTTGGGGTAGCAGGCGGGTCCCACCGCACCAGTGTGCAGCGTCTTAGATGGATCCTGCCGAGAAACAGGTGCGTTTCTATCTTAGTCACTTTCTTCGTGGCGGACACACAGTACTTGACACTCACAAATTACAGGAGGAGAGGTTGGTTCGGGCTCACATTTCAGTCCATAGTCCGTGTGTTCCGAGGCAGCAAGGCCCGGCAGTGGGGCAGGGTTGAGGAGAACCGGAAGCAGAGGGTCAGGGGAGGAACCGGGAGGGAGCGGACCCAGGCCGTGCCTTCGGTGACAGCCCCTCTGCCCAGGGCCCAGCAAGTCAGCGGGAAGCCCGGTAATCCCGCCCTCCCAGAGGCCCGGCCTGGGAGCGCACCAGGCTTGGCAGGACGCCTCAGTAGGAACCAGAGCAGCGCCCCGTTTATCCTCCAAGCCTGCCTCCCTGTCTCCTGCAGACTCCATGAGCTCCCAGGTTCTTTCTGTTCTTCCAGTTGATTAGATTTTTCCTTAAAATAGCCGTAGTTAACTTCTGTAACGCACCCCACACCTGGGCATCAACCCCAGGGAGCGCAGAGCTACATTTCCAGCCCTTTTTATGGAATTTTTAGGCTACTTAGGATTGAACCCAGCTGCATCCCTATCCCTCTTTAAGTTGAGACAGAGTCTAAGTTTCCCAAACGGGGCTCAAAATCAAAATCCTTCTGCTTCAGCCTCCTAGGGTGCTGGGACTACAGGTGTGCACCACCAACCCCAGATCTATTTGAAATTTTTAACAAAAGTTTCCTAAGCAATATTATACACAAAAACATGTGCCTGCACAAACTTACTCTTTGAAGACTTTGTGCTAGGCTCTACTCTAAAATAAATAAATTTTTAAAAAATAAAATAAATAAATAGGATAAAAAAAAAGTAAAAGAAATTCTATGGCAACTAGAGCAATTGGTGGGCATGGTGGTGCACACCTGTAATCCCAGCACTCAGGAGGCTGAGGCAGGAGGATTGCTGTGAGTTCGAGACCAGCCTGGGCTACAAGTGAGCTCAAGGCCAGCCTGAGCTGCATAGGGAGACCTTGTCTCAAAAAAAAAAACTAGAGCAACTGAAGGAGTAATTTGGGGCAGGAAGATGACATGTAGGGTATGTTGGGTCTCAAGTGTCTATGAGGCATCGTGACAGAAGTATTTATTTATTTATTTATTGCCCGGTACCGGGAATCGAGCTCACACCCTCACGCTTGCCAGGCAAGCGCTGTGCCTCTGAGCTAAATCCCCAGCCCCAATGACAGAAGTATTTAGTGGACATCTGGATACCCTTTACTGGAACTCAGCAGGGATATCTAGGTTGTAGATAAATATTCTGGTGCCACGGGCTTAGAAGTAAGGGTTCAGACCATGAGCAAGGAGAAGACAGCACATCTGGGTGTGATGGTGCAGGCCTATAATCCCAGCATTTGAGAGGCTGAGGCAGGAAGATTGCTAAGAGTTCAAAGCCTGCCTGGACTACATAGCAAGACCCTGTTCCTTACCCCACCCCACCCAAAAAAGAGAGAGAAAATACAGCATAGGAAGAGGCCAAGAAAGGAGAGAAAAGTCCAAGAAATAACTGGGGCCTCTGGGAGGAGGGTCAACATTTAAAAGATCTTGGCAAGCAGTGGAATCAGAAAGGAAAGGGAGGGGGCACATTAGGAGTGGTGGCAGGAGAGACAGTGAAGGAATGGATCCCAGGACAGGACAGACTGGAGGTGCGCTGTGATGACAGCGTGGGGTCACAGTTCACCTAAAAGGGCGGGCGCGGCTCACACCAAAGGCCGGGACCCATCAGGGGAGGAGGGCGCCGCCTACACCTTGTAGTGTTGCTGACTACAGACTCTGTGCCTCTAACATGCATGTTTTCTCCCTAACAAACTGCTACTGTGGGTGACAGCTTGTTGGTACAGTGTGTCGTATAGACTGTACCTACAGTAACGTGGTTTGGCGCAGGGATCTGAAGCCGGGTCACCTGTGATTGAAACCCTCCTGTGTCGCTAACACCGCTGCGGGATATTACCTTAATACCTTGCTCAAGGTGCTTGGCCTCTCTGTGCTTCACTTTCCTGGTCTGCAAAAGGGATGGGGTAAGGAGATGACTATCCTATAGGGCGTGCTACGGAAGTGTTAGGTGTTATTGTCATTATTTTCCACTAGGTTGTCATCTCCATGAGGTTGAGGTTTTCTAGTTTATTCAGGGACATATACTCAGAGTCTGATATAAAATAGGTGCTCAGTAAAACCAAACTGATGAGCCCAGTGGGCATGGTGGCACATACCTGTAGTCTCAGCACTGGGGAGGCTGACGCAGGAGGATCATCATGAGTTTGAGACCAACCTGGACTACAAATTGAGTTCAAGATCAGCTTGGACTACACAGCGAGACACTATATCAAAATACTAAAAAAAAAAAAAAAAACACTAAACAGAAACTGCCAAATAAAGCCGGGCGCGGTGGCGCATGCCTATAATCCCATCAACTCGGGAGGCTGAGGCAGGAGGATCACTGTGAGTTCGAGACCAGCCTGGGTTACAAAGTGAGCTCAAGGCAAGCCTGAACTGCATAGCGAGACCCTGTCTCAAAAAGACAAAAAAACCAAAACAAACAAACAAAAAACCTACCAAATGAAACAACAAAACCCTGATGAATAAGAGTCACCTGGGCTAGGGGCTGGGGATTTAGCTCAGTGGCACAGCGCCTACCTGGCAAGCGCAAGGTCGTGAGTTCAACTCCCGGTACCAGAAAAAAACAAACAAAAAGTCAACTGGGCTAGGTGTGGAGGCGCATGCCTGTAATCCCAGTACTCGGGAAGCTGAGCCAGAAGGATGGCTGTGAGTTCGAGACCAGCCTGGGCTACATAGTGAGTTCCAGGCCAGCCTGAATTGCATAGCGAGACCCTGTCTCAAAAAAAAACAAAACAAAACAGAGTCTCAGAGCGAGACGTGCAGGAAAGCGAACAGCTCAAGGGGCCGGGGGGTTTCCCAGCCCACATGAAACAGACCCAAGGTTTCCCAGCCCACATGAAACAGACCCAGAACCCGAGCAGCGGCTCTGGGATCCCGAGTATTGAGTTAGATTCAGTTTCTTGGGGCTCGGAAACGCGGGTCCCAGCCCAGCTGGAAGAGCCGCCCTAGGACGGGAGAGCTCCTAACCGGAGGAAGCTCCACCCAGGAGAGCCGTGCGCGGGGCGGGGCTGCGCGGGGCGGGGCTGCGCGGGGCGGGGCTGCGCG